TTAATAATTTAAAGTAACCACTTCTCACCTAAGTGAAACAAACTGCTCTAAACATTCAGTATCTGTGACTTATTAAGGGCCAAAATGTATCTGTTTACATCTCCTTTGAATGGTCTTTGGGAAATACTGACCAGAGAACTTTGAGACTGTCCGGTTCTACAGCAGCAAAAATTGAATACAGAATGATGTACCTCCGGAATATTTACTTTTCTTGAAAAGCCATGTGCGTGCACACATCTGTATTCCCAGGGATGTGCTAAAAAAAAAAAAACAGAAGAAATCTGCGCATCCCGTTCAGGGTAGGTTTCATTTGGTGCCCTACAACACACTTCCTTGAAGAAAGGAAGGCAAGAATCGGCTCCTGTGCCTCACTGGAGAATTTCTTTCATTTTGTATTTATGGGGTTTTTGTTGTGTTGTTACATTAAAAATTGATTTAGAAAGTGTCTGGAAAGTTCTACAAATGTCTAAAGCCTTTGGTTGTGAGAGAGAAAAAAAAACACTGTTCTGAAAGCTGCTTCTTTCGCCTACCTGTCCCAGTTCTCTTCCTGGGACTCATCAGATCACCAGGGAAAGTGGACTGAAGTTGTGCATTTGGATATCCTCAGATCCTCGGAATCCCACCTACGTAAAACAAGTGACAGAGCACAGCAGCATGTTCCCGTGCAGTGTGCCTGAGACCCCGGGCCAGTGGGCAGGGGGCCTCAGGGTCTTGGGGCTTCATGTGAGGAAGGCAATTCACTGTGGTGGGCCCCACTGTAGACTTCCCAGTCGTGACCTTCACCCACCTGCCTGACCCTGGCCTCTAGAGGGGAGCCTAAACACTATGACAAACTGGAGACTCCACTGGCGAAGGAAAGCAAGCCTGGCTCACTGAAGTCAAGGACCTCTCCCAACTATTTTCATGAATTCCTGAACATTTCTACCTTGAGCATTGGGAAGGCAGATACAACTGCCAAATTGCTCCTCGGGATCCTGACCCAGCGTGAACTGTGCCCTCATCCCCTTCGCAGCCTCAGCTGGAATTGGAGTAAATTCTCAAGTTGGAGTGAGTGTGGGCTATCTTCACTCTGTCATGTTCTCTTTTGAACCTACTTATTTCAGCTCAGAAGGCCTCCTGGATTCTACAAAGCCAGACCATCACTGATAGTCTCTTTTCCATTGTGGGCAAACTCTCAGGAGAGTCAGGTGGGAATATGATGGGAACTACATGGAGCAACCTTGAAGGCCTTTTGAGATTCAAAGATCAGGAGAACCCAGCTCCACTTGCAAATGTTCTGTGGAACCCTAATAACAATGTCAAGATAAGGTCCGTTACTCAATGTATAGGGGCTGGCAGCTAGGCAACACATTTCATTCTATTCTAGAACCAAAAATAAAATGTTTTACAACTGACTGGATATTTCCATACAGATATTATTTTAAGGGGTCAATTACAGAAAGAAATTTTCCAATTTGTCAGCATCATCTGACAAAATTGTTTAGCCCAAAGAATCTATCAGTTTATTTTGTCCCATCGACTAGAAGTTTCATGGAACCCCACTTGTAACTAGGTTTTTATCCAAAATGAAAAGTTTTATTAGGGCTAAGATAGCAGCAACAACACAACAACAAAATAGCAGAAGCAACAGGTGCTGATTGGAGAGGTTCTGTGTCAAATCTGAGAGAAGTGTTGGGTAAAAGTTAAAAATGTTTGGAAGGAGTGGGCAAGAGAGTAAAGACAGGGAGTGATGCTAAGGACACAATGATTTTGTTCACAATCATGTGCCTAACTAAAAAACCCTTCTCCAGACTCACATGCAGCTAGGGGAAGCCATGTGACAGAATTCAAGCCAATGGGTATAAGCTGAGTCACTGAGAAAGTTTTGCATTCTTGATAATGCACCTTGATACTACTTCTTCCTGCTCAGAAAGCAGACACGATATCTGGAGGTGCAGCAGCAATCTTGCACCTATGAGGTAATAAGCTAAATAACAAAAGGTAAAACCAAAACCAAACAACCAAACTCACTGCCTTCGAGTTGGTCCCGACTCATAGTGACCTCTCTTTGGGTTTTCGAGGAGGTATATCTACTGAAGTAGATTGCCCAATCTTCCTAGCGAGGAGTGGCTGGTGGGTTTGATCCACCAGCCTTCTAGCTTAGCAGTCAAATGTCTTAGGCACTACACCACTAGAGCTCTCAACGAAAGGTAAGGATGGTGGAAAAGAAATAGCAAAGGATTCTGGTTCCTGGATCATATTATTGAGCTAATTCTGGAGTCCACTGCCCAGGTCTCATTATTTGCAGCCACATGCACATTTAACTAACAGTAATATCTGATGAAGACCACTGCCACCACCAGCTGCTATCGAGTCGACATCAACTCATGGTGACCCCTGCGTACCAGAGAACTGTGCACCATAGGGTTTTCAATGGCAATGAGATTGAAAAGGATGAGGATGATTTGATAAAAAGGGAGAGTCAAAGACTAAAAGCAAAAGAGCAAATGGGATAAATCTTATGAAGATCATTCTACAGTGGACCTAAAATATAACTGAATTCCTTCCCACAGAAAGATAGAAGTCTTGACTAGAAGAATAAATGTATCATTAAATTCAAATGCAGAGATGCCCAATGCTGTTTAAAATGTAACTCTGTCCTTCTGTGCTTTGATTGCTAGTATGAAAGTGCATGCTTATACATTAGAGCTGGGTGTTTTGCATCCCACAGAGAAGAGAATGGAACTGATTTAAAATCAATTTAGTATTTCTCTTCAATCCATTTGGAGGAGTTCCCACTGAGAACTCGTATGCCTCACCCTCTCTGCAGCCGTATTTGATAAGACCTGGGAGGAAAAATAAGTAATAACACTGAATAGCCTGTTTTGATTCTTGTATTCTCTACTTGGAAATTAAAGCACGCTTATGGCAAGCTGGGACCATATAGGCCATGGCCCATGGAAAATGCTGGACTTATTAATATTTAAGAATGCATAGACAATAGCAATAGATAAATGAAGCAAATGTTACGGGGTTGTGAGTTGATGATCAGGGATGTGTACCCTCAAAATAAGGATGCGTCTCTTTGTATGGGAGGAAATATAGTGCAGCAGTAAACCCTACAATAGTTTGTCATGCAGTCCCGAGAGTCTAGTCTTGCAGAGAGACATGATTTCTTCATACTCATTGTATCAGTGCCATGGGTGTTGGTTCAGAAACTGATGAGTGAACAAAATAACAGGCTGATAACAGGAGCGAGAAATCGGATGGTCAGTAGTAGACCCATTTGTATACTTGCAGATTTCACTATGTTCAAATTTAATTTCTTTCTCCTTTCCAACAAAGTAAGTGCAAATGTCTTTAGTATCATTCAGTAACATAGCAGCAACTCTTGAGGAATTAATAAATAAGGATGCTTACATGCCAAGACCCCCCTGCTTTTTGGACTCAAAGCTTCACACGTGTTCCTAAGTTACAAATATCAGCCTTGAGCAGGTGGGGAAAAGGTTTCTACATTGGCATTGTGTTCAGTGTCCTCTACAAAGCACATCGTTTACACCACCCACTCCACATGCCCCCACAGCAGTTAGTAAACGCATTAAGAAACACAGCTGGAAACTCATAAGGGGTTAAAGCTATAAAATGCCTACTCCTTGATGCATATTTTAAAAAAAGGAAAAAAGAAACAGTTTCATCCTTCTCCCCCTCCTTTCAACCAAAGCTTTTGTATTGCTGCCCCAGCACATAATCTTCCATTTGGATAATAATGTATCATTTGTTTATTTCTTTAAAAATGACACTTCCCTGTGTTTTTCTCTAAATATTGCCACCGTTGCTAATTAAACATGATGGATTCAGGATCTTGGTTTGCCATCTGGGCCATATGTCTCAGAACATCCTTTTTTGTGATGATGCCAAGAAGTCTCCTGGAGAAGAAAAAACATAGAGAAAGAAGAGATCACCCCTGCAATACTGACTCATGCCTGTCCCTAAAACCCAGCACCTTTTCCTTCTGGGCACACAGGTAGACAACATCTCCCAACCTCCCTTGTGGTTGGGTGGGCCCAAGTGAGTGAGTTCTGGCCAATGGCTGTGGGTAGAGGAGGTAGTCACCATCCCCTAAGTCCCTGTGCATTGCCTCACATTCTCACCAGCCAGCCAGAAACAAAGGAGCCAGTGGAGGGCTTTCAGGCCAGAGAACTGACTTAGGAGGTAACAGATTCAAAGACCTAGGTCCCTGAGTGACAATGTGTAGCAGAACCCACCCTGCTGTAACCCATACTAGATATGATGTAAGCAAGAATTAAACCTTCATTGTCTTCCGCCACTGGGATTGCAAGCTGCTTTGTTTCCACAATCAGCCTACTAACACACTCTCTTAAAATTCAAGATCAATTAAGAAGAGCTTCTGAGAACCATTGTCAAAACTTGACCATGCCCCAGAAATTCTAACTATAAGGTATTTTCAATATAGGAAAATTTAAGCATATAAGAACAATTGATTCCATTTTTAATTCTATCTTACTACAAGGGTAAAGTTTAACATTCATTTTCAACCACAGATGTAAATTGCCTCCTCTACCAAAATTCTGTTACTTTCAACTTATAAAAACAATGCTACTTACTAAGGTCACGTATATAGGGCCATCTAGTCTGTATACAAGGAACTCTGGTGGCATAGGGCCTAAGGCATCTGACTGATAACCAAAAGGTTGGTGGTTCAAACATACCAGCTACTCTGTGGAAGGAAGACTAGGCAATCTACTTCCGTAAAGATTTACTGCCTCAGAAACCCAAAGGGAGTCTTTATAAGTCAGAATTGACTCAACGGCAGTGAGTTTGGTTTTTGGTTTTTTTTTTTTTTTTTTTTTGAGTCTGTATGCAGGTGTATACTGCACAATCCACAATTTACATTGTGGTGTCTGTAAACAGTGCTTCCTGGAGGTGTGTAGGAAGCACAGTTTATAAACACTACAGTGTAAATAGTGGACTTTATAGTATACAACCATATAACCATTCACAGCAGCCCTTGCTTCACCTTTGATTTCATTAAATACTTAAATGACTACCTGCTTGAACAAGTCATGCCTCCTGGGGTAAAGTGGAGAGCTTGAGGGAAAGGAATGTGAACAACTTCTTTGGGAGAGTGAAGTTCCACTGCCAAAAAGGTTTACAAAATGCTGTCCACTGTATCTTCATTGGGAGCTCTCGTGGCATAGTGTGCCTAAAGCACTTGACTGCTAACCAGAAGGCTGGCGGTTCAAACCCAATAGCCACTCCTCAGGAGGAAGACTGGGCAATCTATTTCCATAGTGCTACTGCCTTGGAAACCCAAGGTGGGGTCACTATGAGTCGGATACGACTTGACAGCACATAACAACAACAACATATCTTTATCATACCCGAGTAAAGGGGGGCAGGGAAACAAACAATGGCAGTCTCACATTGGAATGTTGTTGCTGTTAGACGCCACTGAGTCGGTTCTGGCTCACAGTAACACCATGTATAGCACAACAAATCTTGGCCCAGTTCTTACCATTTTCATGATTGTTGATATGTTTGACTCCATTGTTGCCACTTGTATCGATCCATCTCACTGGGGATTTCCCTCATTTTCACTCACCCTCTATCTTTACCAAACGTGATGTACTGTTATAATATAGCTATTAAAAGGAAAAATTTCTACTTTGTGTCTACATAAAATGATGATACATGAAAAAAAATCAGAAAATTTTAAATAAACTGTCATTCATTTAATTAAAGTCAAACTAGTCAAACTCATCTCTTATTAGGATTGAATATGAAAAAAGTTTACAAGTATTTGAAGTCTTATATGGCACCCAGTAAACAAGGTTGGGCAGAGTCTTTTATGCATATTACAAAATTAAATCCCTCCCTCACACCATATACTAAAACAATTTTGCAGGTAGGTACACTTCTGAAAAATCAGCCACTGATTTTGAGTTTCCAGCTGTGTTTTTTAAGGAGTTTACTAACTGCTATAGGGGCATGTGGAGTGGGTGTAAACAATGTGCTTTGTAGAGGACACTGAACACGGGAAACCCTGTGAAGCACAGTTACACTCTGCTACACATGGAGTCACCAATGAGTCAGAGCTGACTTGATGGCAACTGGTTGGTTACACACTGATTACAATGGCATAAAAACATCCCTGTGCATATTTACAAGGGCAAATTGAATCTGAAGCTATTTAAATAGACTCTAAATTAGATTAGCTATTTTTGTCCTGTAAAGTAGCCAAAGTACATAATTTAAAAAACCCTTAATGTTGGTGGCAAAAGACCAGAAAAGAGCCCTAAAGTCCTGCCACAATACTATATTTGAGTTGAAGATATTCTATGCCTGCATACGTAATTCCCATAAAACAAAAAGGCTAGAAATGTACAAGTCCATTACATCTGATGAGATAAATGTTGATTAGTGAGATTGTCAGGTCAGAATTCAGACTTCTTTGTCATTGATCACACTAGACCTTAAACAAACTTGATAAATAATTAATTTCTTGTGCTAGCTTCTCTGTCTTACTGGAGAGATAGCAAATACCCCTGCACACACCCTGACGTGCACAGAAACATCTTCAACAGAAAGGAAAATAGCAAAGGAGGACTTTAAATGCATGCTACACCAAGAAAATAATGACGATATGGGTTACAAAACATTGAAAAGAAATTCCATTATTCTATAGTGATAATTTAAAAAAAAAAAAAATGAGGAGAAACTCCTAATATAGAAAATAAGATAGAATTAGAAAATCAGCATTTTGCAACCCCCTGTAATAACTCTCCACAGGAGAAAGGTGAGGCAGTCTGCTTCTATAAAGATTGATAGCCTTGGAAACCC